TCAGTAACATGATGGAATGTAATAGCTTTCGTTGTCTGTAGAGCAGAGGTGGTATTCAGCAGGTTCTGACCGGTTCTGGAGAACCGGTAGCAGAAATTTTGAGTAGTTTGGAGAACTGGCAAATACCGCCTCTGACTGCCCCTGCCAACCCCATCTATCTTCTGCCTCCTATTGAGTCCCAGCTGATCAGCTGGGTCTTCTTTGGTTGCCCTGCACAGGAGAACAGAGCTGGAAAGCAGGTTAGTGGGGTAGGGAGGGAATGGGATTTTGCAGTAATCTTCTCCCAGGAGTGGGGAGGGAATGGGGATTTTGCAGTATCCTTCCCCTGCCACACCCACTAAACCATGCCATGTCCACCAAGCCACGCCCACAGAACCGATAGTAAAAAAATTTGAATCCCACCACTGCTATAGAGTAATGTGTCCCTTAGTACTCACTGAGCGAAAAGGTCTTGGCTGTCCATTTGTGGGCTGCTGGCATTAGTTGTAGGGATACTACACACACACACACACACACAAAATTTGGCTTAAAACAAAGTTATTATACACTACAACATTTAGAATCTTACAAATGCCCCCAAACAGGTAATATGGGATATGAAATTAATATGAAAGCCAATGGAAGTATACTCATCAGAATAATGGGAGAAAGGAAGAAAGAGAAAGAAAGAAAGAAAGACACTGAGACCAATTTCTGTAGCAATGTTCTGATCATAATTATTGAAAATTCTATATTCTATATATTCTATATTCTACCATTGGAGGCAGAAACCTGACCAATAAAATATTTATTTGTTCAATTTCTATAGCCACCCAACTCAACCAAGTGAACTAGAACCTTTCACATAAGCCTGATGTAAAAAACTCACAAGGCTTGTCTTCTCCCCAAATTCCCAATTCTATTCATCACAATCCTGCCAATTTGGCTTCCCTGCCATGTTTCTTGAGGCTCTTAACCCCCGTCTCCCATATACGCCAACCCCAAAGATTGGCCATACCCATTTTCAATAAATAAAGCAAAATAAATAAATAAAATCAAACAATAAATCATAACCCAGAAGTAAGTTTCATTGAGATAATGGGCTTACTTCCAGCCTTGCTGTAAATCCTTATCCATGTGTGCCAAGATACAAACATTCACAAAATTGGACCCAACAACCACAGGCTTAATTGTTTCTATCTAATAAGGTTCCAGCAGACTACAGAATGATCATAAAGTGATCTACTTATTATCATCTTTAGCCAAATATGCAGAGCTGTAAGGAATCCAACAGTAGAAAGTCAAGTTTCAAACATGGTTTCCAGAACCAGCATCAAGATTCAAGGGTTCAGAGATGATTCTGCAGAGCCACAGATCAAAGAATTCACATAGGCAATCAAAAGAGATACAACTTGAAGTTAATCCACCTGGAATTGAATTCTATAAATCATTGCTACATATTAGTATTATATAGCATAGGGTTAGTTCACTTACCATTACCATACAGATTCTATTGGTTGGTGCTCATGTTGCTGTGTTTTCATGAAGGTAACAGCGTCAACAGCAAACACATTTTACAACTGATAGCACTATTTAGCAAAGTCCTTTCTGCACAGAATCTACCCAAGATCATTCCCTACTTAGGTGCATAAAGTTAAGTAGATTTGAGTTTGCGAGGTTCTAACTCTGCACAGCTTCAGTTCTTATCAAGCATTTCCCCTCTTCTACTAAACTTTACCTGAAAAACTTGTAGCCCTCCATCCATAATGACCTGTATTTCCAAGTTTTAAGAGACCTTACCATCAGTTCTGGGTTGGAAAACTCTGTATTTTAATCAGGAATTATAAGTTCTGAATCTGGTTTTCCTATGCTGGTACTAGGGTCTGATTTTTTTTGGTATCTAAGATGCTAAATTCATCCCTTTGGTTCTCTTTCAAGAATAGTGGCATGCAAAACTTCAGGATAACACTAGATGGCAACAACGAGTAATGTCTTTCATACTTTGCTGCCCTCTAGTTGTCCCCCCGCCCCCTTTTTTTTTTTTTGCAAATCCCGTCTCATAGTCCTAGCTGTGAAAGGGCACAGTTGTTGTGGTTAGCTGGCAGCAGGTGCGGATGGCTGAGCAGAGCGAGGACTCAGATGAGGGGCCAGGACCATTAGGGAGTAGACTGCTGCCTTCAGAGATTGTGGGGGCTGGCAGCAGTGATGAGGAGGTTCCTGAGGAGCCTGTGCCAAGTGCGTGTGCACGCAGGATTGCTCGAAAGAAAGAGCAGCTACAACAGCACGGGCGACTCAGGAGTAAGGCTGCAAGGTAATGGTCCCTCCTTCAAGAAGATATAAGCCAGCTGTGAAAATAACCTTTGCAGAAGGCAAAGACGTTTTGAAACTCCAGCCTCGTGGACATTCCGCTATCCTGAGTTTGTATTTGAAGATTCTTCTTTTGCAAATTATTTCTTGTCTGTTATCTTTTGGCAAGTCTCACAGTTTGGCAAGGCTTGTGCTTATCACAGCTAATTATTTTGTGAAAGCATTGTTGGAAAAGGGCGTGGGTCAGAACAACAATGGAAGATGGAACCTGGAGAAAAATGAAATTTAATTGAAATTTGAAATGAACAAATACCCCAGTTAGCTAATGAAATGACTCTTCGCGCATTTAGTATTTTGTCCTTCTATATTCTCACCAAATTTTGGAGGTTAGATCCAAGGCCTTGAGAAACTATCTGTAGCCACAGAAGTCTCTTGTTTTTGAGAAAAGCTGTGAGTGCGACCCAGAAGTAACGCTTCTCTTCAGTTAAAGTAGGTCAGACCCCTATTAACTTGCCTAGATGAGGGGAAGGCTAGCTGGGGACTCCTTTGGGAGGGAGAATAGCGTATAAAGATCTTCAATACATCATTTGTGAAACATTTACTGCAGTTCCTGGTTTTTGAGGAAGGATGTGTATTTAGCAGAGACGATAATGAAGTGTCTTGCACTCTGAAGTCTGTATGCTCCAGGGATGGGAAAGCAAACAAAAGGGGGAGGGTTGCTTGCTGTCTTTGGCACTTGAGTAAGGTCAGCTTTTGACAAGGCATCTCAGTAGAACCCCATTAGCCTCCTGACCTTAAGCTTCAAAAACTTTTTTTTTAATAATTATCTGAGCACAGAGAAAGCCTTAAGGCATTTATTCCAGGGACTTGTACGGGCCAGGACCCTGGCATGTCCATAATAATGTGTTTTGCTTAAGGGTGTACAAAAGAAAAGACATCCATAAATAAAAACAAAGAAAACTGGGACGTCGCTTGTTCGTATTAAGTTTTGGTTACCTACCTGCATTTTTACCTTTCAGGATGAGTGGAAAAAAAATGCTATCCTTGCAATCTGAAAGGAGCTGTTGGTTGTTCAGAAGAACTGGATCTAGCTACCAGCTGAAGAACTTGTTTCTGAATGGTTGCAATTACAAATTCAGAAAAGGCCCTTTAGCAACTCCTTAGATTAGCAAGCAGGTCGCTTTTAATAACTCTAAACCAGGGTTGTGTGTAAGGAGCATGTGGTTCAGTTTTCCTGCGCAGATGGGGCTGTCAGGCATTAGAAGAATGAGCATTGTGAAAAATGTGGGGCCCTGATATCTAGGCAAGGACATTGCAAGTAGTCTTCCAGACCAGTGTGAAGTCTCCAGGTGTAAATCCCTACATGTCTGGTGCTATTTATGCATCAGGTATGAACAGTGAAAAGACACACAGGTAAATGCAATTGCCCTTACTAATGCTCTAGGAATAGGAAGTCTACAAAGATCAACACACTAGCATTGTATTATTATTAGTCATGCATTAGTACTATATGACATGCTGGCTAGGATGGGTTTACCGATAGAAGATTATATTTGTAGGCAGGGCTGAACTGGTGTTCCTTGGTGCTCTCTGAGCTTGGTGGTTTTCTTGCAGATGTTTCACTACTAATTTAGGTTAGGTGGTCTCAATCTTTTGGGTTTTGTGAACCAGCAGGGAGGGGCAGAGTGCACATGGTTCCATGCAAGCAGCAGGCACGCATGCTTGCGTGTGCAGTTTCATTTGCACAAGCAACGGGCACTCACACAAATGAAGCTGCATGCTTCCATCACTTGTGCGGCCCGGTTCCAAAAGGGCCATGGCCCAATTCTGGGCCATAGCCCAGGGGTTGGGGAGCCCCTGATCTAGATAACATCATTAGTGCTAGAGTTAGGGTTCAACCACCACTGATGATGTTACCTAGATTGGTATTGAAACGTCTGCAAGACAACCATCCCACTCAGAGAGCACCAAGGTCCCCATAGGATGGATTTAAAAAAAAAACATGAAGTTCTCCACTATCCACAAATATTCACAGCAGCAGGTGGGTTAGCTCCTGGAGAGCGCTTCCACTGTAGGGTTGTGGGGAATGATGGCGCATGGATGTCCAGATTCCATTGTTGCCCATGTTCCACCAGGAGTGGCTCTGTTGTGGCCTGTCAGCCACTGGCCCCTCCAGAAGCTGAATTGGATGAGGAAGCGGCATGGGCGTCAGGGCAACCTGAGAGCTCCGAGGGAGCTGGCAAAGAGAGAGAGAGAGAGGCAGAGCCTGCGCCAGCCATCACCCCTCAGATGGAGAGTCAACAGCTCCCAGGTCTGGAGATGGATGATGAGGAAGAGGAGGAACAGCTGGGTCCAATGTCTGATGTGCAGATGTGTAGAAGGCAGAGGAGAGGAGAGCAAAGGGAATCTATGGGCCAGTCCTTGGGACAGAAGAGCCACTGCTGCTAGCTAAGCCCTACCCTAGCTCTAATAAAAGGCAGGGGGCAGAGATGGATAGATGTGGCAGAAAACTATTCATCTTCCGGTCGGATGGACTTGTTCTCCTGCGGTGAGAGAGACAGACTTTTTCCCGGGGCTGCTGGCACTCCTAATAAAGGAATCATTGCTTCAACTACTAGGATATGTCGTGTTTGGGGAGCTGGGTCAGAACAGGCTCTTGATGGACGGGGTCTACTATTTCCATCTGTGCAATCAAGTGAGATGTGAGATGCGTGCTCCTTTTGAAGAGTTTATTTCATCTTTACATGCGGTGTTAAAAACCCAAAGGACGTCTTTTATTTACACATCCACAGCACAAGTTTACAAGATATCTATACATGTTAACGTACCCTATAGCTTGTATAGAGTAGCTTTTCTTTTCTCTCTTGTTTTTTTCTGGGTTACTGTTTATTTTTATTTTTTTTAAGCTGTACCATTTAAAAAAGATACAATCTGCATTTACCTTTGCACAAATGGATAAAGCATGTGTTTATTTTTTAAGGAAAAAAAAACCCAACACAAATTATAAATTAACAGAATAAAGACTATGTCGAATGTTAGAGATTTTTTTTTTTTCAACAGAAATACTGAGATGACTCACATTACCCACTAACGAGGCAGCACAATGTTACAAAAATGTTATTCGGATTCACATAACATTTATGTTTCAGTTTCACACAAGTATGTATTACTCATTAATCATTGTAAAGTGACGTCAATTACATTTTTGCCATTTGATTTCTTTTCTCTCTCTCTTTCTTTTTTTTAAATTAAAAGGTATTAGTTGCAAGACTGAAGATATTTTTTAGAAAAAAAAATTACTTGTGGCATTTTGGGAGACCAGTAAAGCTTGACATACAGATTGGAAAAGGAGTTTAATTGTCTATATGAAAGAACAATCCCTTTCAAAACTTTCTTTTTTCACTTATGACAGCAACAGATGTTTTGACCTGTAAACTTAAGAGATTGGTTACAGAGACTTCAGCAACCAAATGGTGGAACATCCAACACAAACCAAGTTCTTCATCTGAGTTGACAATCGGCGATAAGCACACACACTGTAGCCTGTGCAACTTTGGGTGGCTTGTATTATCCTAGAAATCTCATATGGTTTCCCATTGTTGCAGTTTGATTCTTAAGCAATTCAGGGATGAATGTTTAGCACAGCAAGGTTTCTTGGCTTATAGTTTACTTTTTCATGGATAATGAACGGTTTCGCAGAAAATATTAATCCCTTCCTTCTCTGCTTTTTTTTCCTTTCATGTTTTGGGACACTGCAGAGAGAACTTAAAAGCACTCAGGGGTTTATGATGTACTATTACAGAGAACACTTGACAGGATTTTTAGTAGTAAGCGATTGGAGGGGTGGGGAATCATTCTTGTGAATAAGGCACAAAATGCACAGATCTGAGTAAAGTCACACACATAATATTTACAACAGTGTTGTTTGTTGGCATGGCTTCAAAGAAACCACAAGCTAAAAAGATGGGCTGTGCTTCTGTTGAATTTTGATGGATGGATCCTGCTAAGACATTGGGGGGGAATGGCTATATTATGGGGATAATGTTCACATTGATTCTCCCTCACTTAGGAACGTAGTATATATTGGGTGTGTTCACATAACATCCAAAGCCAACATCTGTTACAACAGTAAGAGCATTGCCTGAACCTTCTGGTTCTTACCACAAGTGTTGGAAGGGTACATTTTCAAAACTTGGGAGGAAACCACAAAGCTTCATACAGAAGCAGACAACTAGATGTTACTAACTACAACTTTGAGTATCCCTCACCAATCACTGTTGGCATGCTTCCTACAGACATTGGAACTTGTAGTTTAGCAATAACTAGAGACCTACCAACTGCTTTTGCAGCTTCAAGTGACCCTTCCTCAACCTTGTGTCCTCAAGATGTGTTGTACTCACAACTCCCAGACTTCTAAGTTGGACTACTGAAACTTGCAGTCCTAACTTATCTGGAGGACCAGAGTCGGGAATGTCAGCTCAGTGTTCTAGGAACATACTCAATAAGTTCAACAGAGCTCTTTAAAAGTGAGAAGAATCTCCTTTCAATGACGTAAGCAGTTCTCGGAGAAGCCCAATGGCAAACATGCCTTCCTACCTCACGTTACGTTTGACATGTTGTTGGACTCATAAAAGACAACAATGGGGTTTCTCCTTGACTTCCAATGAGCTTAAGACAGTTGGTGGAAGGATACTGCAGGAAGCTATGGAGCAACGCTTTGAAAAATGCAATCTGGGGTATTTTTCCTGCATGCGAATGTCCTCTTTTTCCTTCGTGAAGATGTGTTTGAAATTTGGGGAAATTAAGAACCTCCATACTGGATGGCTTCAGCCCTTGATGTTTTGAAGGACAGTAACTTAAACAGTGGTTGGGTCAACGGAAACCCATTCAAACGATATTTGGAAATTTGATACCTAGCTTTAGAGCAGCCTGGCTTTGGGTATCTATGTTTGGCTTGTTTCCCATTGTACCTAATTGTGTCCTAGGCCACAATCAAGACAGGTAGTCCTCAACTTACAACAGTTGGTTTAGCAACCCTTTGAAGTTACAATGGCACCGAAAAAAAGTGGCTTATGAACCGTTTTTCACCCTTGGAACTGTTGTAGCAAGATTCGGACCTTGGGAACTGGCATGCATTAGTGACAGCTGCAGCGTCCTGGGGTTATGCGATCCACTTTTGTGACCTGCAGCGATTCACTTAACAGCTGTGGCAAGAAAAAAGTCATAAAATGGGGCAAACTTAATTTAATCGATGTCTCGCTTAGCGACAGAAATTTTGGGCTCAACTGCAGCCGTAAGTGGAGGACTACCTGTGTCGCCAAGCCCGCTGCACCAGATCTGCAGCACGTCTTTGCAAGGCAAGAGTACCAGAGTCAAAGCCGCCGGTAGGTCCTCATTCTTTCACAAATGTAAACATTTCCATCCGGACAACACAATGGAATTGAGCACCTCCTCAGGATTCAAGGCTTCCTCGCACCCTTGCATGTAACCCCCCTCATACCCCTCCTCTTTTTTTAATCTGTGCCTTTAAAAAAAAAACTGTCATCCTTTGGAGGCAAAAAAATAAAAATGCTACTGTTGGACCAAGAGGCTGAAGTTCAGCTCGCGGCTTCTTAACCAACAGATGTTGTCGAGACATATTTTTTTTTTTTCCGGATATTTGTGCAAGAGGCAAGGCAAATGCATACATAGTTAAAACGTTCACATTTTGTGGGAAGACTACACAGTATGGCAGTCTAAAAAACAAACCCCCTTTTTTTATTCTTATTTTAATTATTATTAATTTCAAGTATTTGTTTTTGTTCGCGGATCTGCTTCCTGCCTAAGTACTCTAAAGTAGCTCTTTTGAAGTGGCCATGGAGTCCTGTCCTTTTTTTTTTTTTTTGTGCTACGTCTCTCCTCCTCTCCCAACATAAGGGATGCAATGGCCAGCCCTTCCTCTCTCTTTAACACATTGGGCAAGTGGAGTCTTGCTGCGGGCCAGACAAAACCAGCCGATGGAGCAAAAAGAGCCTGGTTGCCCCCAGATTCGGTTCCCCCCACCAATGCCCTCCATGACAAGTGAGTCGGAGTCTTTCCTTCCATCTGTCCTGCACCATCGCCCCAAGATCTCGATGGGTTGAGTAGGCAAGTTTTAGTAACTGTATTTGTTCAGTGGCCTGACCGAAGGTGTCTGTGGGGCAAAAGAAGGTTTGGGTGGCACATCTGGCTTAAGAGAGGGCATCCTCTTTATCCCTGTCCGAGGAAGCGTTCCGTTGCTTGTGTAACTGCTTTGCCTAGACAAGGAAGGCTGTAGATGGACGCTGACCGGCGTCCCTTGGATGTAGTCCATCTTTGTGCCTCCAGTTGGAGTCATATATCCTCCCCGGTTAACGCTAGGCTGCCTGGATAGCAGCATCCCATTCGGGGAGTTTAAGTTTTTAGGAAGAGCTGATATAGAATGCCTCTGGGAAGAATTCTTGTGGTAGCCCCTTTGCCTTTCCAAAGAGGTCATGGGTGCTGCCGGTGCATTGGGGACGTCCACCCGTTTTGTCGGGCTATTTCGTGGCAGGGTGGAAGGAGGGGAGTACAAAGAGGCTTCCCGGTGAGGGACTTTGGGGGGGACCTCTGTCACGTTCCCCATGGAATCCAACATTAAAGTCTGGTGAGCCACCTGAAGGTCAGCCATGATGGCTTTGGAGTTGCTGGGGGCTTCGTTTAAATGTTTCAGGAAGTCATTCAAGGTGTTTCTGGAATCCACAGATCGCCTGTGGTCTCTTTTGCCTGAGGACTTTGTGAGCGGGTGGTCCACATTGGGCATCTTTTTGTCCACTTTGTGCGCATTAGAATTGGAGAAGGACATGTTGTAATCGTGGGTGGCATTGGGAAGGACGATGGCGCTGGGAATGTGCCCGTGACTTAAAGGAGAATGGGGTGGAGGACTGGAGGGGAAAAACTGAGGACTCTTCAAGGGGGCTTCTTTTCTTGAAGAGCTGAGGTTGTTCTGGGCCTTCTCCATCTGGCTCTTCATCCCTTGTAAGGCCTTTTGCTGAAGCACAGGAGTCGATTCCGGGGTCGGAAGAGCTGCCAGTTCTGGCGGTTGGGCTCTGTGGTCCACCATCAACATGGACTTCGTGTCCGCCGTCTGAGGCAGCTCTTTGCGACTCGTCAGCAAGTTGGAATAAAGTTTGGGCGAATCGATGTTCTGCTGATACTCCTTCACTGGGCTGTCAAATAGGCCGTTCAGCTTGGCAAAACTCCCACTGGAATCCGTGCAGGATTGAGCTGACTCCGCGTCTTTGTGAATCTTCCTCGATTTTCTCACAAAAACATCTCGGTAACAGTAAACAGCCACGCCGGCAATAAACGCTCCCAGGAGGAAAGCCGCAAAGACACAGGTAATCAGGACATTCATGTGCACCATTTGGTTGGAATCACCCGATTGGACTTCCCACCTCACACCTATGACAAGCACACACATGATGGGCAGGTTAGAGGGTACTTTGGATGATCAAATCACGAGACAAATGTTTGCTACTTCAAGTTGCATCCTAAGGGCACCTAACTCAAACTTGGTGTCTTGAACGTACAACCCTTTGAGCAGCATCAAGGAATTATATCACTCTTGACAAGGAAGTGATCCACAAGGAGCACCCCAAGTACATTCTAATGATCTATCTGCATTATGAAACACCTGTGTAAATTCTTGCTGCTTAAAATCTCTCTTCTCTTTCTCAGTCCAGCCATCCCAGGTTCTGATTAAACATAAACTGGACAGGAACTAATACAGCTTCCGTGCTTTCGTGTTTATGGTTGAATGAACTGAAATGAATGGATTTTGAGAGGACTTGACATTCCTGAAACAGTGTCCAAGATATGAAGCAGCCCTTATAAGTGCCAAATAAACATACTTAAAGCTGATCTTTAGAAGCCAAATTGTGGCTATTCCTAGATTTATTATTCTTGTGTGTGGTGGATCTTTCTTGGTGTGGAGTTGCACATAGATGTTGCAATGATATACTGTACAGCCTACGAAAGAGTTGAGTGTATGCAATCAATAGCAAAGTGGAAACTGCGCTTATGGTTTGTAAGAACAACCCCATTATTCCTACCCACTCTTGGTCAGCCTTCTACATTTTGGAGATACGATGTGCCTGATCTTTCAATGAGGTCATGATTTGGCCTACTTTGGCATCTCCACTTCTTCAGAAGTCCTGCGCTAACCATATGTTGGGCTGTGAGATCAGCAAAAGGGCATGATATATAGTGATGGCATAGATTGGCATTTCATTATGTGTGGCACTGTGGCCATTCAACATTCTTTCTGAGCTTCTTCTTCTTCTTCATAGACGGTAGGCAAAAACTGACTGTGGACATGATGCAATACATCTCCAAAGCAGGAAAGCCAATAGACTGAGTTACCCTTTATTGAGAAGTATTCCTGCTGGATTTCATATCCATTATAGGCACTTCTCTGAAGCGAAGGAGATGTGAGCTAACTCTTACCTAGTTATAAATGCCCAACAGGAGCAAGCTTATATCCTTACTGTGAAGGACATTAAACCACCAGCAGCTGTTTCCCATCCTTTTTCTTTCTGGTGGCTGGTTTTCTCTGCTCTTAAAGGAGCATGATGGCTTGAGTGGATGGAACACTGGGCAGGAGGCAGTGTTTGAGACCCGAGAGTTGCTATGGGGAGGGTTCGAGCTCTGGTCCTTCACTTCAGCTCCTGCTGGGGATGTGAAAGGAACCTCCCACTGGGCATCCCCCGGGGCAATGTTGATGTCACTGACTAATCCTTTCAATCCAGAAGCGCCTTAGTGCTTCTGACACAAGTGCAACAAAGTCATCTAACTTCCAGTAAAGCAACTATAACTGGGGAGAACTTCTGCCGAAGTAGAAAATCAAAAGCGCTGTTGTGAAGGTGCATCACTGATGGCTCCAATTCTCAGCTGGCAGGAGGATGGGGCAAATTGAAGGCTGATGTGAAGATCTCCTTGCACAACTACCTATAGAATTTCTCAGAAGCAGACTTGGGACAAGCATATTGAGACTTTGCTTTGTTTTTGGATACAAGATGTGACTTCTACTCCAAGCTGATCAACCTGTGGGTTTATCAGCTTGAAGAACTTTCCGAATACGATATTTTGCCAATCTATCCTCCTTCTGTCCCCAAGTCTCCTTTTAAGACACACAAATAGTAGCTCATATGTTATTAACTTTAACAATTTCTGCTGGAAAATTGAGGTTAGAAGGTGTTACTCTGCCACACTGCAATTAATAACTCATGGAAGGATTTCTCTCTCAATTCCCTGCCTGACTCATAAATCAGAAATCAAATGCGAGATAGGATTATGCATATATATATATATATATATATATATATATATATATATATATATATATTTATTTATTTATTTATAACTTTTTCTTAGGTTGTCTGCAGATTTAAAAAAGAAAAAAAAAAGAACGATATTATATTTTTACAGTTTATGCTTGAATAAGGAATGCACATTTGGAATCTCATGCTGGTTTAGAAATGATTGATTAATGAAAGATATTAGTTTTTTCCTAAAATATAGAATGCATCTAATTTAGTCTTGATAGAATAATTAAAATTGCAATTAACACACAATTATTGGAGCTTGCATATTTTTCTGACAGCAGTTTTATTACTTCTTTGTGTTAAGGCAGCCACAGACACCATTTTGGCAAGAAAATGTTAGTTTGGAAAGATGCATCTACTTGTGTTATTCTAACACCAGGCAGAAAACTTAAAATGAAGAGGAACATTATTATTATTGTTATTATTATTAGTGTTGCTGTTGTTATTATTTGTTAGAGGCAAGGCTTTTGATGAGAGTTAAACGTGTTCAGAGTTACTGATTTTAATGGCTTGGTGTGAAAGAAGGGGTGAGATAAGGACAGAGAGGCCAAAGACAAAAAAAGTGCCACCATATATATATATATATGGTGAGTAAATCCGGATAAAGATTTCAAAGGACACTCAAGCTATAAAACACCTGAAGCAAAAGGAATGTCAGAAGGCTTGAAAGGAAACCTGATACGTTGCAGGGACTATTAAAAGGCAAATAAGGTCCTAATCATTTAAGCAAGGAGAAAATGGGGACAAGGGTGTGCACATATGCAGTATCTACCGAGAGGTATGTAAACATGAGGCAGTTCAGGTGAGTGGATAACTGAGAGCTGGGTTTAAATACACGGCCACAGAAGAAACTTGACTTAGTGACGTTGGACCTCTGTCCAAATCTTAGAAAAACTTGAGCAGGTTGAGAACATGGCCCTATTTTTGCTTTCGTAGCAATCCAGTGGCGTATCATCACATTTCATGATTTGATGGGTCTGAGAGCAAGACAGAGAGGTCAAAAGTAATCCCGTGAAGCTAGTGACAGAAAGGACATTTGAGGCAAAGCCTGTTCTACTGCTTAACTATGGGTCCAAAATAGCTACCCTCTATTCTCTAGATTGGTTGGGGTTTGATCAGAACGTAAGGTATTACATCCAACATTGTTGGGTGAATTGTAGGTCTCTCTCTGTCTCTCTCGGTCTGTCTCTCTCAACTTATTTAGAACAAGGATCTCCAAACTTGGCAACTTTTAGGTCTTATGGACTTTAACTCCTAGAATTTCTCAGCATGGCCAGCTGAGGAATTCTGGGAGTTGAAGTCCACAAATCTTAATGTTGCCAAGTTTGGAGAGACCTTATTTAGAAGATATACAGCTCTGTTCCTTCAAGCAACCACATTCTACTTCAAGCTCATACAGAAGTCTGAAAAGGATGCAGTTGTTTGTAGGTATCTTATGCTACGCTAACATAAAACCTGTAACACTTCTACTGATCTGTTTTAGAAGCATGTGTGGTGCTACTAAACAACAATAAACCTTGGAAAGTTGACAGGTGGGTAGAAATAGAATAACCAAGTTGGAAGGGACCTTGGAGGTCTTCTAGTCCAACCCCCTGCTTAGGCAGGAAACCCTATACCACTTCAGACAAATGGTTGTCCAACCTCTCCTTAAAAGTCTCCAGTGATGGAGCACCTACAATTTTTGAAGGCAAGCCACTGATTGATTGTTCTGTCAGGAAATATCTCCTTAGTTCTAGGTTGCTTCTCTCCTTGATTAGTTTCCACCCGTTGCTTCTTGTCCTGCCCTCAGGTGCTTTGGAGAAGAAAGAACAAGGGTTGGCTGACATGAGTTATGAAACCCATCTCTTGGTTGGTTCCCTCAGATCCACATTTCACCTTTTCAGTTCTTTTTTTGATGCGCTATGTCGCTCTGCCTTTGATCTACACACACTCTGCATACCCATTGAGCGAGGGAGGTCCAGGCTTATGGAGTGAATCTTTGAAAATGGCTGAAGGTATCAGGTTTTCTTTCAACTGCAATAGAATTCCCTCTTTCGGCCTTACCCTTTGGAACCCCTGATAAAGGTTCAGAGTAATCAGAAGTATTTGGGTCATCTTGAGCTACAAATTTCCGAGAGTCAGTCACTTTAGGTTTCCAGGAACCAATCACTTTGGGCGAGATAACAGGGATACTTCCCACTGTGGTAATGGAAGCTGAGGATAGCATCATGTCTGTGGTGGCAAACAGATTTTTAATTAATGTGCATTACAGTTGTTTTTCTTGTTCTTTCCTTTTTTAACCCCCTCATCCACTGCCGGCTTTATTCAATGGCTGCTAAGTAATCTTTAGAGGGAGATGTTTAATGGGAATCTGTACGAGAAAAAGGATAGACAATAAAGCATGATGCTGCTCTTGTGAATTAATGTCCAAATCAGATTAAAATGAGAGTTCAGTTCAATATAACCGATTGGCCTTATTAGTCCACTTGAAATGAGATGGACAGATCATGTCAAGAGGCAAAATCTAATTTATTTATCCATTTGGCTCACTACTGTCAGCTTCGGCTGGCACTCCAGGTAAGCCTTTTCCTATCATGACTGTTGTCCAAGCAGATGTCAGAGTCTGAATTTCTCCAGGCTCAGTATAAGCCTGAGTGGGAGTTTAGGCTTATGGTCTAAAAAAATGCGACACCTAAAACCTATGGCATTGTGTCCAAGGGAGACAATAAATTCCATTTCCTTAGGGCGTTCATTTGCTGTGGTTCCATGTAAAAAAAAAAATGGATAAGAGGCTGGATTTGGAAGCTCATCAAAATGCAAGCTATGGCAAGGGATGCTTTTTTTTTTTTTTTTTTTTTAATGCTCTGAGCATGGTTGATCCAACACTCTTCTGCAACAGCTGAAGAGGGGGCTTTATATGGATAGAGGGTAGGTTGCAGGGATTTGCAAATTTAATTAATTTAGGCATGTTAGAACGAAACAATCCTCTAAGATCATGTAGTGGGTAGTGAGAATGACCTTGCAGCTGAAGCAACAGATAAGAGGCATCTGAGCCCAGAGCAGAAATGGGGCTTGAAAAAGCAACCTGCTGCCTGCATCCCATGGATGGGACTTTGCTTGTTTTGCGTGGCCTGGTTTGTGGTATGCTGTGGTCCAGTGCTGGTTCAGGGATTGAGGGTTGGGGACCCCTGTTGTCAGGCTAACATGTCATGGGGTTATTTTGGTCACTGAACTGAAATAAGATATTACAGTGGCAAAATGAGACAAGTTTTATTAAAACCTGCACAGCTTCTCATCTTAATAAGTGTTAAAAGTTCAAAGATACACTTAGAATGGGATGTTTAGGGTGGATGCTTTATATATGCTTTATGTATGGCTAATTAAATAAATTAGCTGAGCTTGTCAATCATTCCAATAGCAGTTCAGGACTAATCCAGAAAAGAATCATTGATTTCCAGGCTGGTGTTTATGCATTCCCAGTAGCTCAAAAAATCATAATTTCCCCACCCTCTTCCCTAATTTTCTCTACAATTTTGGTTCTGAAGAAGAAGAAAAAAACACATGTACAACTTCAGAAGTTATAATGTTAAGTATAATTATCAGCACAAATGCATTCTTATTACTGGAGAAATCAACACAATTCAAACAGAGAAATACACATTTCGGAAAATGCGTATTTGAGGTAAAGGAACTGGGAGACATAGGAAAAATAAAGAAAGGGAGAATCAGGCAGGCATCCATATATTGAATTATGACAAGGAGGTGGTTAGCATTCAAAAATGTATGACTGGAGGTGGAGGGTGGAAAGAGTAGGCGAGAAAATCTCATCCATGTCGATCAGATTTGTGGGTGAATAAAAGAAGGACCTCAATTAATAATGAGCTGTTAAACATGCAGCTATATGAGGTGAAAAGTATTGAGTGAGCCAAAAACGACTGGCTATATCTTGTCCATCAGTGGGAATATGATTAAAAGCAGAAAAGCAAAAATATAAATTAAAAAAGCGAAAGATTGCCAACTGCATCCAAAGGAACGTTAGATAACAAAAAGAGAGAGAGGGAAAGAAAGAAAGAAAGAAAGAAAGAAAGAAAGAAAGAAAGAAAGAAAGAAA